CCTGGCAGAGGTTCTTACACGTGGAATCTTGGGGGGGGGCTTTGTGCTTTGAGTGTGTTCTCGGGGTTGCTTTTGTGGGTCCTTTTTTCCTCAGGGTGGGAAATGGGCTCCCCCCTGTTGAGTGTGTTGGGCCTCCTCACGAGGAGATGGATCCTGCGCCGGCACCTTCCATGGGCCAAGAAGCGGAAATTTCATCAACATCATCATCATAGAAGCCCTGTCAAACAGAGGGAGGGCAACCCATGGAAATCCACTGTGGGAAGGGGGGGAACCCTCAGTGGGAGGTTTGGGGGTGCCAATTTGGGGATAGAAAAAGGGGGTCAGGAAAGGGGGGCAGAGACCTTCACAGAGGCAGGGGGTTCCAGTCCATCCAAATCCGTGGCCTGGGGGGAGAAGAGGCTGGTGGTTTACGGTCTGCTGAAGATGAAGGATCTCTGAGATGCTGCTGGATGAACTCACCCCACCCCCTCAGCGCCTCCTTGGCTCAGTGGAGATTTGAACTCATGCCTTCTGATTCCCAGCCCCAAATCTGTTTCCCATCATGTTTTAAGAGCCAATACTTTGGCCATCTCATGAGAAATCTCCCTGGAAAAGACCCTGATGTTGGGAAACTGTGAAGGAAAGAGGAAAAGGGGACGACAGAGGACGAGATGGTTGGACAGTGTCACTGAAGCTACCAACATGACTTAGACCCAACTCCGGGAGGCAGTGGAAGACAGGAGGGCCTGTCGTGCTCTGGTCCATGGGGTCACGAAGAGTCAGACACGACTTAATGACTAAATAAGATTACTCTGTTAGTCCTAGAATAGTGGCGCAATGGTTAGGGACCTCGGGCGTTGCAGCACGAGAAACATGATAGGGCCCTAAGCTGCACACTGATCTTAGAATGTCAAATTGACTACGGCCCTCTAGGTGCTCTCCCTGTTCTATGGCTGTAAGGACTAGAAACTTGTTATTTAGTTTTTGCCTTTCTCAATCCTCCTTCAGTTTTTAAAAAAGGAAAGGAATACAAAAGCAAGATGTATATGGGAAGCTGTCCCAGAAAGTAACATTCAAATATGAAATGCTCAGCTCTGAATCTGTGCTTGTGTATGAAAGAGAAATCATTCTTTTCAGACTAGCCTACCTCACCTGATTGTTGTGAGGTGGATAGATTGCAGCAGATTTCTTTTAAAAACCCTGTAATTGTTCACTAAGCATAATAATTATTCATTCAAAGGGGGGGGCATTTCGAAACCAGGCTGTCCAGCCTTCCTTTAATGTCAATGACTGCTCTGGTGTGAACATTAAACCATAACTCAAGTGCTTATAAAAAAAGTGTGGGCTTTTCCTTGGGCTGCTTAATTACCGGGCAAATTAAAATCTTCAGAGAGGCAAGGAAGCAGAAGCAAGAAGATGATACACACTGAACTGACACAGAACCTTAGGCTCTAAGTCTGAAGCAAAATTATTTGAGAAGCCTTGCGTGGTGGAGATCTTGGGGAAATGCAGGCCCATGGTAAGCTCATCCAGAGAGGTTGCCACGGTTTAATTTGACTGGAATAAAATAATCCACATGTGTTTGTTCAGCAATCACGGGCAGTTTCTAGAGTACATGTGAAAATAATCTTTTTCTGGATTTTTTTTCTTTTAATATTTTTAGACCTGGATAAATGAAACCGTGGCCCGTGCCAGGGACATGGTGGCGCTGCAGGTTAAACCACAGAAGCTGCTGTGCTATAAGGTTGGAAGACCCGCCGTCGTAAGATCGAATCCACGCGACGGAGGGAGCTCCCGTCGCTTGTCCCAGCTCTTGCCAACCCAGCAGTTCGAAAGCATGCAAATGCGAGTAGATTAATAGGTACCATCTCGGTGGGAAGGTCACGGCGTTCCGTGTCTAGTCGTGCTGGCCACGTGACCACGGAAGATTGTCTTCGGACAAATTCCGGCTCTATGGCTTGGAGACGGGTATGAGCGCCGCCCCCTAGAGTCGGACACGACTGGACAAATTGTCGAGGGCAACCTTGACAACCTTTACCTAAGTGAAACTGTGGGTATTGATCCTGCAAATGAGCGCAGGGGGGTTCCTCCTACTTTATACACAAATGTATATACGGTTTAGCATTCCATGTATGTCCAGTTCGTTGGACCTAGTCTACTGGAACCTGGAGAGACCTTCTCAGCCACAATAGACACTGTTCCAAGTCCTCCATACAGAGCACCTTGCCATAGTCTCTTGAGACTGAAGGATGCTGAATCTGTTGTATTGTTCCAGAGTTTAATTTGCATAAGATTGGTCCTGGTATTTGCCTGGGAGAAGAGAGTCGAAACTCATCTGTGTCTGTTTGCTTCTCCAATCTAGACTGGAAAGCCAGATCACCCGCCCTGGCGAAGGAAGCCCAGCCAGCCTTATTCCTTTACAGAGACTCTTTGAGGGAATGAAAAACAAGTACATATATATGTATAGGTGGCTGTGTTTTATCTTTCCAAACTGTATATCGTATGATCTGATCCCTTTTCACTTTTATTAAAGGTGTGTTGCCCTTGCGTGTTTTATACAGTGCTTTTGTGTACATGGTCCCTTCGCAGCTTTCATATCCAGACGTAGTAATCAGGAGTACACTAACATAGCCCAGTGGTTCCCAATGCAGGCAGGCAGGAAGGAAGAAGATAGAGAGAAGGAAGGAAGGTAAAAAAGGTAAGAGGAAAAGAAAAAAAGAAAGAAAGAAAGAAAGAAAGAAAGAAAGAAAGAAAGAAAGAAAGAAAGAAAGAAAGAAAGAAAGAAAGAAAGAAAGAAAGAAAGGAGAAGGAAGGAAGGTTAAAAAGGAAAGAGGAAAGGAAAAGAAAGAAAAGGATGGAAAGAAAGAAAATGAAAGAAAGAAAAGAGAAGGAAGGAGGGTTAAAAAGGAAAGAGGAAAGGAAAAGAAAGAAAAGAGAAGGAAGGTAAAAAGGAAAGATGAAAGGAAAAGAACGAAAAGAGAAGGAAGGAAGATAAAAAGGAAAGAGGAAAGGAAAAGAAAGAAAAGGGAAGGAAGGAAAGAAAGAAGAAAGGAAAAGGAAAGGAAAAGGGAGGGAGGGATGGCGGAAAAGCCAGCCCGCAAGCCCGCAAGCGACTTCTTCCCGAGCGCCTGCGGAGAGGTCCCCTCGGCTCCCTATGCCGGATGCCGAACCCCCTTTTCTTAAGGGGCGCCCCTCTTGCGCTCGCGGGGCAACGGAGCCGCGCGCCAGCTCTCCTTTTTTTGGGGCGTTGACGAGCAGCCGGGCGCGGAGGCGCAGCAGCCAATGAGAGGCAGGCGGGAGGCGGGTTGAGAACGTTCCCCGGGACTCCGCCGGGCGGGCGCGCGCGCGAGAGAGAGACATTCCCCCCCTCCGGCCCTCCTCCTCCTCCTTTCCCGGCCGGCGCCTCCCACTCTCCTCGGGCGGCTTCCGCTGAGCTCGACTTTTTGCGCGGTGGGCGTGCGAAGGTCAGGTAAGGTTTGTCAAGCGTGGGGCAGTTCCCCTGTGAACGTGGGGAAGCGTGTCGAGAAGTTGCAACGTTGCAATTCCTTGGGTTCTCCCCGCCTCCCTTTCTCTCCCGAGTTAGCTGGGTTTTAGGGGGATCCCTTTTCCTTGAACCGCCCCCCTCCCTCGCCCAGCCGGAAATGGTGTCGCCGGGAATGTCCCGGGCCACTTTCACTTTCATCCTCCGACCGTGGAGGAACAGGCGACACGGGAGTCGGGGTGCGCGTGTGTGGAATGCATTTATTTTAAACGGCCCGCAAGCTTGCAATGCCTGTACACGTTGGCCCGGCAGCCGGAGGGCCCTTTTGAAAGAAACGGGGCTTAGGAAGGGAGCTTTCGCGGAAGTGGGTGGTGTTGGACGGGGAGAAGGCAGAAGAAACGGGCCCACGGCTGATCTATAAAGTACGTTGACAGGGTATGCTGCCTATAACATCACAATCGCAATATGAAATAAGTAACCGGAGTAACTCTTGCATTTTTGATCTAAGTGCTTAGGATGGAAAAAAAAAATCAGCATTTTTCATTTTAGAGAAACTGTTGAGGACTTTTTCCAATGACACTTATTTTTTAAAAAAGGAAAAGAAAGAACAGCCAATGGGCAACTGTTGTGAAGGTGTTACGGGGGGGGGGCACCCAGGCTTCTTCTTGTTGAAATGACAAGAGTCTTGTGTCACCTGAGAGGCTTCCGGGTGAGAGATCAGTGATTTTGGTGCAGATCAGTGAATGTGGACTAAAGCTTTTGGAATTCTCCCAGTCTCAAAAGAAGAGCGGTTGTCCAAAACTGGCGCATCTGCCACACCTTTGTCCAGGAGGACCTGGTGGATGTGTTAGCAGACGTGGGGAATTTTAGCTCAAACCAGCAAGGATTTGTATGCGCGCGTGCGCATATGTGCTCTCTCTCTCTTTCACTCATTCACACACACAAAAGATGGGGAGAGAAGGGAAGCTAGAAGGAAGCAAAATCAATGAAGAGTCTAGTGATAGCTTTAAAAACTGACACATTTCATTTGATGTATGCTGTTGCTTCTACCCATGCAGAACAAGCAGTGACAATTCTGTAGAACTGTGGTTCCCAACCTTGGGTCACCAAGATGTTCTTGGACTACAACTCCCAGAAATCCTGGCCTGCACAGCGAGTGGTGAAGGCTTCTGGGAGTTTTAGTCCAAGAACATCTGGGGACTAGAGATGGGCACGAGGTGGTTCGTCCCAGTTCGTAAAGGGGGCAGCACAGCTGTTGCTCCTCCCCTTCCCCCACCTCCTGTGGCTCAATCAGCCATTCACCAGGCCAGATTCCATGATTTTCAATGGATCTCCCAGTCCTGGCAAGAGCTCAGACTTCTGTGGCCCCGCCCTCTTGGCTGATCTGCCACTCAGAGAAAGGGGCGGGGCACGGAAGTCCGTGCTCTTGCCTGTAACTGGGAGATCAGCCGAGGAGGTGGGAAAAGCAAGGGAGCTGGGCGTGGGGAGTGGCTGTTTGAGGCAAAGGAGGTGGGAAGGGGAGGAGCAACATCTTTACGAACTGGGACAAATTGATTTTGTACCAGTCTCTGCTAGGGACCTAAGGTTGGAAAACCACTGGTATAGAATAAAAGAGTTTCAGTGGCAAGCACCCAGAGCTTGGGAGAATGGGGCTTTTTTTGGACTACAACTTCCAGAATCTCCAGCCAGCACTGGGAGTTGTAGTTCAGAAAAGTAACCTTCTAAGCTGTAGAAATAGCAAGGTATTGTTGGGGATGGGAGCAAACATTCTGTTTACCCAATGCAGTATAGTGGATAGGGTGACAGACTAGGGTTCAGGAGATCCAAGTTTGAATCCCTGCTCAGCCGTGGAAACAGTCATGGAAGCTGGCACTGGAGAAAACACTCCTTAAATATCTCAAATACCTTGGAAGTCCTACTAGGATCACTATAAGTGTAATGGGACTTGATGGCACATTTAAAAAAAGGTAGATGTCCTGAGATTATAGTGAGCAAAAAAAACAACACAAACCCAATCAGTAAAAAAGAAAGAAAAAAAATCCAGTTATCTCAATTCAGGCCAGGGATAATAGGGCCAGACTTCCTGATAAATGTTCATTCCACATGTAGGTAGGTGCATTCCTCTGAGGTTCCTTATTTTCAAGAACAGCCAGGTCAAGGTTAGCTGCAGAACATCCTGCTAGCTGTTGCTTTTTCTGAGGTCATCCTTGGAGGCCTCAGTGTTGCTTTGATGCCAGTTAACCTTGTACATACTGTGCTTTCCCTTCCAGGGTCTCTGTATGTGTGGCTTCTCCTCTTTGCTCCTCAGAACAGCTGTGTAAAGTGGGTTAGGTTGAGAGATGATGAATGCAGGTTCAAGATGCAGTTAAACCCAGTGCATCTTGAAAGCCAGTATTGAGTCCACAGTGCCATGTTAGATCTTAGTGACAAGGATGACCCATTTTCCTACATAACAAAAGATGACATTCTGGCTCTTGGAGAAATGTCGGCCTGCCTTTAGCAGGACAGCCCATGTCTGTTCAAGATATCGCAGGCACCTATTGCTCGATGCCTGTGACGTCACCAGTAACAAGCAAACACTCTTCCAAGATAGCTGTATAATCAAACAGTAATTGATTAACAAGTGTTGTGTGTGTGTGTGTGTGTGTGTGAGAGAGAGAGAGAGAGAGAGAGAGAGAGAGAGAGAGAGAGCTGTTCTTCTGTCCTTAGATGGACCTTTCTCAAGCTGGTTCCCTCCAGATTTGAAACACAGCATATACAATCCCTCTACCATGACCGTGTTGGCTTGGATGGAAGGATGTTGCCCCTCTGGAGGCCACCAGCTCAAGAGAAGGCTGGGCGTAGAGTGTAGAACCAACCACTGAGATGTGCTCTGCTCTCTGAGGGCAAAGTGTAGCTGGGTTGAGGCCTCTTTTGCAGCCTCTGGTAGAAACCTGTGAGTTATTAAAACATCCTTTTCTGGGGGATCTTAAGGAGCACAGAAAGATGCAAAAAGGGGGGGCTTCAAGACCCGCACAGGAGCTGTAGCTCACAGACTCCTCCTTTTAAGGTGCCACAAGATTAGTGGTGGTTGCTTCTGAGAACCGTATTTGACTAAACTGCTCGTTTCACCGTCTCTTTCTCTCCCACTCCCCCGCACCCTTCTTCTAGCTGTTCGTGGAAGATGTCGTTTGCTGAGGACAAAGTGAAAAAGTACATTGACAAGAATCTGAGGAGGTTTCAGAACCGGGTCAGAGTGGCTCAGATGCTCCACCTGAGTTGCCTCACGGATGCTGACCGGGTAACTGTCGGGCCCTTTGCCGAGGAGAAGCTGGGCTGATTTCTCCCAGCGGCAAATCCTTCGGAAGTGCAGGCAAAAAACATAGAAGGGGAGTGGGCTTGGTGGCGAGGGGTAAGAGTTACTGCTCACTCGCGGAGGGCAGAGTTACAAGCATTTCACTGCAGGATCAGGCCCTGGCTTCTTCCGTTAGAAATAGGCTGGTCAACCTGGGGGTGGGTGAGGGGGAGGCTGGGTGAGGGTTATTGTGCCCCCCACCCCACCCCCCACAGCTAGAAAAATCAGGTTGCCCTCTGCGGTGCAGACATGAACCTTGGCAAAGCAATGGTGAGTGGGCTAGATGAGGGTTTCAGTACTCCTCGGGAGTAAATTTCCTAAACTCGGAAAAGACTTAGTGCTGAAGAAATCCAGAGAGAAAGTTGTCAGTCAGAGCAAAGCGTTTTGTGGCATTTTTTGCCCCCAGATTTTAGACGACTCGGTTGTTGTCACAGTTACACTGGTCATTTGGCCATTTTGCTTGTGGTTGTTACGTTCTCCTTATGAGCAGGCCAAGAAAATAGAGAGAAAATTCTTTGGCTCCCCTTACAAAAAATAATATAATACAACAAAAAGGAAGACATCCCATGCTATTTAGGAATGAAAAAGTGGTATAAAATCTGGAAAATTCCTGGGGAAATGCTTTTTAAATGCTCTTTTAAAGTCACTGTTGAAATGAACTACGGGTTATGTGTCACCTCTAAAAAGTAATCGTATAACTACATTACTGTTTGCAAGTAATATACAGAATATCATTTCCTAAATATTTTAGTCTGTCTTTTCATGTGACAACACTGAAGAAATGACACTTGGCTACAAGGAAAAGCAGTGAGTATACAGCTTGTATAACAGTGTAAATATGCTGTCCTCTCAAAATAATTCAACACACAGCCATTAATGTCTAAACCGCTGGCAACAAAAGTGAGTACAGTCCTAAGGGACAAGGTCCAAATTGGGCCCAAGTAGCCGTTTCCCCCCCCCCGATGTCATGAGACCCATTGTTGTCACAAGTCTCAGGTGTGAAGGGGGAGCAGGTGTTCTCACTCTCACTCTCTCAGACTAGTCACTGGAAGTTCCACATGGCATTTCATGGTCATGAACGATCTGAGGATCTGAAAAAAACTAATTGTTGCTCTACCTCAAGATGGCCTAGGTTATAAGAAGATTGCCAAAGCCCTGAAACTGAGCTGCAGCATGATGGCCAAGACCAGATAGCGGTTTACGAGGTTCCACTCAGAACGGGCCTCGCCAGGGTCAACCAAAGAAGTTGAGTGCCCATGCTCAGGGTCCTATCCAGAGGTTGGCTTTGGGAAACAGACGTATGAGTGCAGCCAGCATTGCTGCAGAGGTTGAAGGGGCGGGGGTCAGCCTGTCAGTGCTCAGACCCTACGTTGCACACAGCATCAAATTGGTCTCCAAGGCTGTCATTCCAGAAGGACGCCTCTTCTGAAGATGATGCACAAGAAAGTCCGCATAGGGTTTGCTACACACAAGCAGACCGAGGGCATGGATTTCTGGAACCATGTCCTGTGGTCCGATGAGACCAAGATACAGTGGTGCCTTGCTTGACGACGTTAATCCATTCCAGCGAAATCGCTGTAGAGTGAAATTGTTGTCAAGCGAAATTAAAAAGCCCATTAGAATGCATTAGAAAACGGTTAATGCATTCTAATGGGCGAAATACCTCATTGTAAAGCGAAGATCCTCCATATGGTGGCCATTTTCTGCTCCCTGTAGAGCGAAGAATCCGTCTCTAACACAGCAGGGAGCCATTTTGAACAACGGGGGGCTATTTTGGAAACCCGACGATCAGCTGTTTTGATCGTCTTAAAGCGAAAAATCGGTTCCCTGCTCCGGGAACCGATCATCGTAAAGCGTTTTTTTTTTTGCTATCGAAACATTGTTTTGCAATCGCAAAAACCTAATCATTAAGCAGATTCATCGTGGAGCGGGGTAGTCGTTAAGCGGGGCACCACTGTAAACTTATTTGGTTCAGATTGTGTCAAGTGTGTGTGACGGAAACCAGGTGAGGAGTACAAAGACAAGCGTGTCGTGCCTGCAGTCAAGCATGGTGGTGGGAGTGGCATGGCCTGAAGCCACATGAGTGCTGCCGGCACTGGGGAGCTACAGTTCATTGAGGGAACCATGAATGCCAACATACAGTGACATACTGAAGCAGAGCATGATCCATTTGGAGACTGGGCTGCAGGGCAGTATTCCAACATGATAACAACCCCAAACACATCCAAAATGACAAATGCCTTGCTAAAGAAGCTGAGGGTAAAGGTGATGGACTGGCCAAGCATGTCTCCAGACCTAAACCTTATTGAGCATCCGTGGGGCATCCTGAAATGGAAGGTGGAGGTACGCAAGGTCTCTAACATCCACCAGCTCTGTGATGTCGTCATGGAGGAGTGGAAGAGGACTCCGGGGGACACTTGTGAAGCTCTGGGAAACTCTGTGCCCAAGAGGGTTAAGGCAGTGCTGGAAAATAATGGTGGTTGCACAAAATGTTGACACTTTGTGCCCAATTTGGACACCTGAGACTTAGGGGTGTACTCACTTTCGTTGCCAGCGATTTAGGCACTAATGGCTGTGTGTTGTGTTATTTTGAGGGGGCAGCACATTTACACTGTTATACAAGCTGTATACTCACTGCTTTACATTGTAGCCAAGTGTCATTTCTTCAGTGTTGTCACATGAAAATATACACTAAAATATCTGTGATACACCCTAGTTATTTGCAACCTAGTTGCAAATGACTATATTACTTGCATCTAGTGACTTCCAAGCTGTGGCCGGAGCCACCACAGTCAATCCTCATTCAGGTGTGCTGAGGACTTTGATGCGGTGTGTCCCTTTCCTCGGCTTGAGAGTGTCTTCCCTTTTTTTTTTTTGCAGGAGGAGATCACCTCCTATGAGCGCAACTATGGGAACAGCCGAGCTGTCTGGCATTTCTTGCAACTCCTCCACATCAGGGTCGGCTGGGTACAACAGTTCATAGATGCACTCTGGGAGGACAACATTGGAGACCTCGCTCAAGAAATCCAGGACGTTTACGAACGACACCTGCTCCGTAAGTTTTCTGCACTTCTTTTGCCTCTCTTTTGCTTCTGAGCAAAAGGGAGAACATCAGCTTTGTGGAAGGGCAGAACCCCTGAAAGCACAGAAGGCAGCTGCCAAGCACACGGGGTGGGGATGGGTCTGGATCATCAGTGGAAGATGCAACGCCTCCTTTGCAATAACCTCTAGGTTGGATTTGCATGATGTCTCCCTGTTTGGAGAGTTTAGCTGCTCTGTGTCAGGGTGAGAGCTGAGAAAGACGGAAGTTCTCAGTGCACTAGGTTGGCTTCTAGTTCGTTGCTGCAGAATAATTCTTAAAAGAGTGAATGCCACTCTTCTTTTAAAAAATGTGAATTATGAATGGAGAGAAACACATTCTGGAAAGTGCCGTGTACCCTCAGAGCAGAAGTGGCATCTAATCGCTCATAGTCTGTCCCTCTTTGAGGAAGGGACATTGGCTTCTGAAACACACACACACAGAGTTGCCGGGACTGACTCTTACGTTCATCTGGCTTGATCTTGTCTAAAGTGCCTCCAACCTTCTGAAGTGGGGCAGAAGATGGCAAGATACCAGACCAGCAGCCAGCCTGGGGGCGTCCTTCGGTCTTTATTGACTAGTAGGGAAAAGGATGAAGGCCTGGCCCATCAGGATGGCTTCAAAATAGGGTCTTGCCATGCCTGAACTATGATCTTTGCCCTCTTCCTCTCCCCCCCACCCCATCCCCAGTTCTGCATAAATTAGGAAGATGGGAAAATAAGTGGGTGTATAGAGAAGACTAGACTTACAGTAATGATCACTGGACAGCTCCTACCTCCCCCCCTCCATGAATTTTTAAAGGTTAAAGATAGATTCACAGACGATGGCTAATCGCAAGCCATAAGATTTCTTAGGGGAGTCTTTGGCTTGCAATTGGTCGGCCATCAGAATGAAGAAAGGGCTCTCCGCTACATCAGAAGCAGAGTTAGGCACCAAGAATCCGTTCCCTTTAAAAGATGATTTCATAATGCTGTAAGAAAAAGAAACCTTCAAAATGGGGTTTATGCCAGCCCATCAGCTGAGTCTGGGGAATGTCATCGGTCTGACCTTATAAAATGATAGCAAAAGGGAGGACCTTGAATTGCTTGTGTCAGTTGATGTAATCCGTGATTCACGACAGTTAAGCTTGCTTTCTGTTTTCTCCCCCTGCTTTTCTGTTACCTCACCGTTTACAAATTGCTATGGCACGTGATGAAACCTGTAGTTTGCATAATGTTTTTTTAAAAAATGGTATCAGTGAGATGGTGGTATTTATTGCAGGGTATATTTGATTTAGATCACAATATAAATTTTAAAAATTCAGTTTTTGACCATTTAAATTTTTTAAAAAATCAATTTTTGGATTTAAATCGTGATTTAAAAGCACAATTTAAATCAAGTTGGTTTTTTAAAAATAATTGATTTAAATCAAGTTTTTTTAAAAACAAAGTTATAAAAATGTTGATTTGTTGTAGTTCACAAAATGACCACCAGCGCCTGTCCTGTTAAAAGACTCGCAGGCTGCTCATGTCATCTGTGTCTGCTTTCCTCCACCATGGCACTTTTGGTGAGCTTTGGACTATAACATCTATCATCTGCCACTGTAGGTTCTGCTGGCCGGGGTTGGTGGCAGTTGTAGTCCAAAACACCTGGAGTTCTCCAAGTGTGTGTTTTTCGCTGCTAGACGGTGCAGGGTGAAATCTAGAGTGCTTTCCTTTCTCTACCATGGCAGGGTGCTTTTCCGGGAAGTCATTCCTGAGGCACAGATAAGAAATCAAAGGCAGTTGGGACAGTTTCACTTGAGCCCAGCAGTCTGTGGCTCTACTGTGGCCAGTCGTGGTTTGGTAGCCATAGCACCACCACCTCTCCCGAGTCCGGACATGTTCCATGAACAAACAGAGCAGTTCCATATACTCTGGTGAGTCAGGGGGAGTGGAAAAAAATAGAAGGAATTTGTGCCATTAAAATGATCACTGAAAGTTCAAGCTTGGAAGCCCCGTGGTACTTTGCACGTGAGTTTAACTTCGGATCTGTAATAATTAAGTGAGTTTAAATCAGTGTGTAGAGAGTAAAAGAGAGAGTAATAGAGTGTGTAGTTTGTGAAATTCTGAGGAGTGATTAGCTACTGAAGATATCAATGAATCAATCTTTGTAATCAATAAACCAAAGTTTTATTTTAAAGAAATTGAAGTATGGACCTGAATTTTTCTGAAGTAATGGTGATTTTGAGATCACCTGGTGGCAGGAAGTGTAAAAGAAGAGAGTGTTTGCTTTTGTGTGCTCTGAGGCTTGAAGGTCAAGCAAAGGGCCACGAGGGTGGACGCCACGTATTACGCAAAAGTAATAATGACAAGTCACTCGGGGTTAGTGACTTAAAGAAACCGCCTGACGGCATCGCTGGTGTGACTCCAATCAGAGTGCTTCGGTTGTGCATTTCTGTGGCCCTTTGCTGTGCTCTGCCCCCACCCAGATAAAGGAACCGGGACACATTCTTGTGTTGCTTTTCCAGCCTCTCCAAGAAGGAATGTGCCAGCCCCGGCTGCGTCCTGCGCCATGCCGAAGGATTCTTCATTACCTGGGCCGAGGGCCTTGAGCTGCAACCCTTCTCCTCCTGCTGAACCGGCCCTGCCTCCTGGACAAAGCCCGCCGCTCGCTCGTGACGCCCGGCCTCCGGTGCCTGCGGATGCCCCGAGGCCTGCACCCTCCGCCATGAGCCCTGAAGTGCCCCATGATATGAGTGAGGCCAGTCCTCCCATTCAAGAGACAGAGCTTCCCTCCAAGAGCAGTGAGATGACGGTCAGACCTAAGGTTCGTTTTCCTCCAAATGTCGTTGTGTCGCTTGATGGGCGAGGAAACCTGGCTCTTTCAAATCAGGTTGGGATTGGACGTACTTTTCTAATGCTTGCTAAATGGCACGCGCGCTCTAGGGATGGGGGAGACCCTAAGACCAAGCAGTACGCCTGCCTTTTTAGGCCAGCGAAGAAGGACAGGTGGCCTTGGTCTCTATTCCTCAGTGATAGGTAGCTACCACGCTTTCTTTTAAAAAGAATAATTTTAATGTCCTTAGTGTTCAGTTAACAAATCCTTCTATACTAGTGTGGAAGAACAGGGACCTCACTGCGCCTTAACCATCAATTCATTAGTACAGACTTATACAGATGTGTATAAGGCAGATGTGTGTGGGATGGCATTTTCTGCCTGGGAAATTCTACGTGTCGTGGTCCAAAAACACTAATCTCCACCCCGGCCCTCAAGCTAGTCTAGAGGGTTGAATCAAATTTGTTTCCAGTTTGATAAACATATGAAGGTGTCAAGCGGAGAGACATTGTGAAAGAGTTGCTTCTGAAATAGGATGGACAAAAAAAACCCCACAAACCCATTCGTTAAGTAAATTTAATCAAGATTGTGTGACTCACAGGGCAAAATTATACGAGGGTCTCCCTATAAACTGTGCTTTTAGGCAGTCTAGCTTTTAAAAACTGTCCCTCTGAAGAGAAAGGAAATATCCTTCACAACCAAGGGTTTACAACTCCTACAGAGGCAACTTTAATCTGGATGATTTCTGTGAGAGTAAATCATAATTGACCATAGCTAATTGTGTAACCAATTAGTGAGGTGTGGGGTACATCTTGATTGCCCCGTCTGATCTGTGACCAAGCATGCAACGGAGACACATCCTTAGACATCCCCAATTAGCTGCAGTTAGCCCCAGCAATTTACTCAGCCCTTATGCAAGCACCAATAGGATTCTGACGCTCAGTGACTTAATCTGAAATCATTTTTGTAGAAATCATAGAAAAGTGAAGTTGGATGGGGCTTATACAAGGCCATCGAGTCCGACCCCCTGCTCAATGCAGGAATACAATCAAAGCGTATCTGCAAGGTGATTATCCAATTTTTTCTTGAATGCCTCCAGCACTCACCAACTCCCGAGGTAACTGGTTCCATTGTCATACTGCTCTAACAGTTAAGAGGTTTTTCCTGATATTCAACCGAAATCAGGCTTCCTTTAACTTGAGCCCACTGTTGCATGTTCTGCGCTCTGGGATTTTATTATGGCATGAACTTTCCTAGCTTTGTGTCCTTTCCTATCCAGGTTGCATCTGGGGTGAGTGATTGCATTGACGCACCCGATCTGCATTACTCCCCGGGTATTTCTTTTCAGGTGGCGCACGGTGCCGGAAAGCCAGAGTCTTCCACTCCTCCCAAGAAAAGCACAGCCTCGCCGTCTGAGGTGGGAGGTCCGAAGCCGGCCGATGCTCAAGCCACCTCAGCGGCAAATGCCTCTCCGAGTCTCCCGGGTCACCTTGAGGAGGAGGAGGCATTGCCAAGCCCTCCGCCGGTCTCCTTGCGACCTGGCGCAGGCAGTTTGACCCGCCGGTGGGACAGTGGCCAGCAGCGCGGCGTGCCTCCAGCAGCGCAGCGTGCCTGAGAGAAACAGGTTCTCGGGGAACGTGAATGCTGTGAAGGACCACAGCGTCTCTCCAACCGGGACTGGTGCTCTTGGCCTCAAGACCTCTGAAAATCAACCTGAGGAGAATTACTACTCGTCTGCAGACAATTCCCCTTTGGCTCTCGGTTGCCGAGAAGAGCGGCAGGAGAGAAGATCGCTTCAGGAGGGGAAGGTCCAAGCCCTGCGGGTGTATCGGCATGAGGAGCGGTCAGACAGTCAGGTGGGGACAGATGCCAGCCCCTTGCAGTTGCAAAGGCGGTTCGACCCAGAGCAGGAAAGGGCCCTGGGTTCACAGGCATCTGGCGGAAATGTGGCTGTGGTGGATGTCGGTGGTGGAATGCCTGAAGTTGATCCAGCAAGAGCTACGCCTGGAGATCTCGAGACAAGAGACCGTGGTGAGCAGGGTGGTGAGTCGCCTCTCGAGGAGGCAGCCTGTGGCTCTTTCCCTTGGGAAGACGGTTGTACTCTCAGGACGCTCAGGGTCAAAGCGCTGACCCATTTCAGTTAGCAGGGCAGGGAAGTCCTCCTCCACCCCTCCACTTCCGTGCTCCCTCTCAGCTTAGCGGCAAACCCTTATAACAGCAGGGAGGCGGGGAGGATGTGTTTCCCCAGGAGCCATGCACGATTGCAAGATACTTTCGTTGTAGTTCAAAGTGTTTTGGGGCTGCCTCGGTTGAGTTAAAGAAAACTTAGACCAGATATTCCTTTCTCTGCTGGGCTTTGCTGTCCTTTACTCTCGGCCAGGCAGAGTGAAGGAGATCAAAGAAGAAACCCCTGTGATCAGAGATGACCTGGAATCATCCCTCGTCACAACCACCTCCGCTTGATTTTGCAATGGAGAGGACAGGCAAGTGAAGAAATCCGGAGAGGTTAGGTTTTTAGAGGGAGTGGCTTCGGCAAGGGGAAGGCACATTCCCTGCCCCATTTGATTTAAAGGTACAATAGGACCCTCATATCTCCGAGAATCAGTATCCACTATTTCACTTATATGCGGTCGGAAAATATTAAAAATGTTAACGCAAAAATCCTAGAAAAACGTCTTTCTAAAGGTGAGGTTATTAGAAATGGCCACTAGAGGGAGCCAGAGACCATGCGGTGTAATGCTTGCTATTAAAAGACTGTAGTGTTACTCAGATCCCTTTTTTCCAGCATCTTGCGGGGGGGGGGGTGTCTTCCAATTCCCCGTGGATATGGGGGTCCTACTGTGTAAAAACATAACTGATTGAAGATACCTAGGTAAGTCATACCAACACATTTATATCTGCTGGGCTCTCCATTGCTAGCCCCACCTGCTATGTCTGTGCCCAGAAAATGCAGCTGGCATGCCACCCTTTCTCTCTTTATTCATATGACATTGCTGCACAATCTAAAACCATGGACTTCTATAAAACATAGGTAAAAATAAAAAGCAAATTAAAGTGTTAGCAATTATTCTAATTTGTGTTGTTTCCAGGGTGGATTTGATTTAATTAAAATTGATGTAAATCACAGTTGAAATCACTGCAAGGTGGATAAAAAGCAATATATTTTTTTAAAAAAATCCAATTTAAAATTTAAAAATCTGATTTTTTTAAAAAAATATTTTTTGAACAATCTGATTTAAATTTTAAAAATCTGATTTTTAAATGTTTTTTTTTATCATTGATTTTTTTAGATTTAAATTTTAAAAATCTGATTTTTAAATGTTTTTAAAAAATCATTGATTTTTTTTTAATCCACCCTGCTGTGATTTAAATTGTGCTTTAAATCAGATCCACCCTCGTTGGGTCGCTTTGCTCATCAGCAAAGTTGGCGGAGCAATGCTTCTGGAAGTGAAAGATTGGCTGGCTGTATGCCGTTTCCTGGGGGACCCCCCTCCCCCCTGAGTGTACTCACAATGCTTTCTTACTCTTTGGAGAGGTTCCTTCGATGTCCCTTTGCACGTGTGTATAAACACAGTCGCTTCCTTGCAGGTGACTGCGTTCCAGCCAACGCCACTGCTGGGCTCCTCGTGAACCCCGTGGGAAACGGACATGCTTCTCAGATACCTGGTGCTGCAGTTTTTCGGCCTCCGTCTTCCAACTGGGAGGGTTTCACCTCCACTGTCGTGATCCCACCTGACTCGCCCACAGGGTGTTCAGCTGCTCCGAGCGATTTTGACTCTGGGGTTATAAAGCTTCCTGTTCAAGAGAAGAAGCCGCCTTTTAGAGAACCAACCGGCACACACACCTCCTTGCTGATGCAAGAGAAGGTGAGCCTCCCCGGGGGACCGTTTTGGAGATGTGGAATTTACAGTCGGGTAGAAGGGGAACCCCTGCTTTATATGACCTTTGACCTCTTGCCTGGCTCCAGCGTACGTCCTTTATGCCGGTCAGAAGCCAGCATTGAAGAAATAGTGCCATGCAGCACAGGCCAGTAATCTGCCATACCTGTTATGCTGAACGCTGTATCCCTGTAGTGTATAAAATGTGTATAACGTATAAAAACCACTGTGTTAGCAAGGGAACTGGAGCAGGTTTTGGGAGTTACGTAAGCTCTGGCCATAGGGGGCCCTGATCAAGAAGAAAAAAAAAGGAACATAAGATTCTCCTGATCTACCAGGGAATTTTTGAACAACAGATGGAAGGAATTCTTGATGAAGGTCACAGCAAAAGGGGCAGGATAAGAGAATGCACCCAACCATTTCCACTTCCCCACAATCACAGAGACATAAACGTACCTTTCCCATTGCCGTCCACCCCGTCCTTTTTTAATTGGCGAGATTAGGAATGCTGGACAAGGGTCGTGTTAATTATCATTGGCGGGAAGAGAGGGCAGAAAGCTTCACCTGCTTAGTTGCCAAACAGAGTGTGTTATCAGATGCAGATGTGAACAGGATTTCATCAGACGTTCCCCTCCTATCCTTACAGTCATGAGAACTAAAAGCTTGGGGAGATGCTTTTTGCAGGTGAGAGTTTGGGCTACAGCTGAGGGCCAGCGTGGCAGGAATTTCCTCCCGCGTGGCCATTAAACTGAGTAGCCACTTGGCATATTTAAAATATTCCGCTTTGGGTGAAAATTTGTGCAACTGAGTTTTGAAAGCAGATCCTTAAAAACAGAAACAGACGAATCTGCCTGACACTGAGTCAGGCTTGTTTGATTTGCAAGGATTTCTAACATGTAGTGCTGCCTCTCCTGCCTGAGATCTTGAGCTGGAGATTCCTGGGCTTAGAAACAGGACCGAATGGGTTGCAGACCTTCTGGCGTTTCCCCGTAAAAGCCTTGCAGGAGAGGTACCTGGGAGTGTTGACTCTGACAGCAGACGGAGAGAGCCGGGTGCGGAACGGTGAGTCCTTTTCCTGTGCATTCCATGTTTCTTACCAGAGTTGATGTCTCGTCTCCCTTCAGGTGCCGGGCAGTTCCCCTTCAACCACTGTGGATCGGAGCACCATGAATTTGACGAGCAGGAATGACCGTATCTTCCATAGCAACTGTGATGACGACAGCTTGCATAAACCTGGGGTTCTGACTTCTCTTCCGGATGAACCCCCAGAGAGATGGCCTGGCCAGCAGCTGTGCGGTCAAGAGGCGGTCCCAGAATATTCTGGCAGAACAGATAGATTTCACTACAGTGGCCGGTTGACGTTGGGAAGCGACTCTTTGCAGCTGAGCGACTCCAGCCGAAGCGGTCCATCCGGAGATTTTCAGCTGAGCGACTCCAGCCAAAGCGGTCCATCCGGAGAGAGGTGCCCCAAACCGGAGGGAAGCGGCGTTTCAGGAAGAAATGTGAGAAGCAGAGCTCCCGATGCTTCTCGGCAGCCTTCAAATGGCGACCATCAGGATAACGGATCCATCAGAACCTTTGTGCACAGCGTCAAAGAGGATGCCAGCATTGAGCTCATGGAAGCAGCCGACGGGATTGGCGTGGTCGGCGACCCCGGTTCCCGATCTCCAGATGTTTTGCCTAACTCGGCAACTGGACGTCAGCCAGTCAAAGGGATCGATTCCCACTGTGGCGATTCCCAGCCAAATGAAGAAGCCAAATGTGGCAAACCATCCTCCTCTCCAAGCAATTATATGTTGCTCATTGCTGGTGCTGCTCTAGCGTCTGCGGCAGTCCTGGTTTTTGTGTTGTTGAAGAGGAAATAGAAGATTGGGAAGTAAAAACCTGGCAATCACTTTTTAGGCATAGCCAAATATTAGGGCACCTTCCTTAACCATTGCTGAATTAACCTGTGGAGGTTGAGCAGTCATTTTTGGAAACTGGATAAGGGCTACGAGCAAGCAAGACTGTCCTGAAATTATTGGATTTCCACTGATCTCTAATAGGGGTGTACAGGTTTCCAACCTTATCAGTAAGGTATGAAAAACGATTGTGGAGTTGTAAGGAAAAAAAAGACCTTTGAAAAAGGAAATGGCTTTTCATCGTGCGGCCTCAATTTCATTATTTCCAAACAAACACTCTGTTTCTAGCTTGCCTGAGACCAAGGTCAGTGAAAAGATAAAAGTGCTTTCAAGAATCCATTCATGTTTGGCAGTTTTCGGGTGAAAGTCTGTAACGATGTAAAGGATAAATATACTGAAGAAGGTAGGAGAAAGAAAGAAAAAATGCTGTTTTAAAATGGGGCTTGGAACAATGTGATGAAATAAATGGAGTCATCTAGATGTTGAAAATGTGAAATACAGTGGTGCCCTGCATAGCAACGATAATCCGTGCAGCCAAAATCGTCGCTATGCGGATTTGTCGCTTAACGATAATCCGAAGCCCATAGGAATGCATTAAAACCCGTTTAATGCGTTCCTATGGGCAAAAAACTCACCTTTAAGCGAAAATCCTCCATATGGCCACCATTTTTTCTGCCCAGTAAGCGAGGAATGGGTGCGAAAACACAGCGGGCGGCCATTTTTTTTACCCGGCGGCCATTTTGGAACCACCGATCAGCTGTTCCAACTGAAAAACATCGCTATGCGAAAATCGGTAAGCGAAACAGCTTACTGATCATCGGAAAGCGACTTTTTTC